GAAGGAAGGAAGGAAAGAGCCATGAGTCACGAAGAAAATGCATATCTAGAGTAATGTGTGTAATGTATGTACACCTACACCCCAAATAGAGTGAAAGCAAGCCACTTGCGATGCTCTTTTGGGAGACAAGAGGGCTATAAATCCAGCAAGTGAAGAAGTCCCGTCAATGTGTGAAAGGCGTGTCTTCCCCCCCTCTTCCCCCCCCTTCTTCCCCCTCCTCCTCCTGCCTGTCTTCCCCATGCCGTGGGAGCGCCCCCCCCCCTTGCAGCCCCACCCCCTTGCCTCCCTCCTCCTCCTCCTCCTCTCCGTGCCGCCTTCCCTGGCTGGTGCGTCCGTCCCTTCGAGGCGCAGAAGGCTGTTCTGCGGGGCGGGCGGGCGGTCGGTCGGGATGGCGTCTCCTTCTCCGCGCCCGGAGGTGTACCGGTGCTCGGAGTCGTCGGGGCTGGAGCCGGGGGAGTCTGCGGTGCCGAGCTCGCTGCTGTTCGGCCTGGGCCTGGCGGGCAACGGTCTGGCGCTGGCGCTCCTGTGGCGGCACCGCTGCGCCTCCCGCCTCCGCCCTCAGCAGTGCGCCCTCCCTCCGGAGCGGCCCCGCGCCTCCGCCTTCTACCTGCTGGCCTGCGCCTTGGTGGCCACCGACCTGCTGGGCAAGTGCCTGCTCAGCCCCATGGTGCTCGCCGCCTACGCCAAGAACCGCAGCCTCAGCGCCCTCGGAGGGGGAGGAGAACGAGGAGGGGGATCGGGAGGAGGGGGCTTGTGCGCGCCCTTCGCCTTCCTCATGGCCTTCTTCGGGCTGGCGCCCACCGCCCTCCTACTGGGCATGGCGCTGGAGTGCTACCTCTCCCTGGCGCAGCCCTACTTCTACGAGAGGCACACCAGCCGGCGTCGGGGCGCGCTCCTGGCCGGGCTGGTGGGCGCCCTCTGCGCCACCCTCTGCGCCCTCCCGCTCCTGGGCTTCGGGCGGACGGTGCAGTACTGCCCGGGCACCTGGTGCTTCATGAGCCTCCGGGGGAGGGGGCGGGAGTTCGCCGCCCTCTACGCCAGCCTCCTGGGCGCCCTGGTCCTGGCCGTGGCCGCCACCAACCTGGGCACCATGCACTGCCTCTACCGCATGGCCCTCCGGCAGCCCCCCCGACACCCCTGGGCCAAGAGGAGGAGGAAGGGGCCCTTCCCCGGCAGGGGCGCCACCGAGGAGCTCGCCCAGATCGCCCTCCTCGCCCTCATGACCGCCCTCTTCACCGTCTGCTCCAGCCCCGTCATCGTAAGTCTATCTGGGGAGGGAAGGAAGAAGAGGAGGAGCAGGAGGAGGGGGGGGGGGCGGTGCCATCTATCTATCTCTATCTATCTATCTATCTATCTTTCTATCTACCTAGTTCTCTGTATTGTCGAAGGCTTTCATGGCTGGAATCACTCAGTTCTTTTGGGTTTTTTCGGGCTATATGGCCATGTTCTAGAGGCATTTCTCCTGACGTTTCGCCTGCATCTATGGCAAGCATCCTCAGAGGTGAGGTCTGCTGGAACTAGGAAAAAAGCGGTTTATATATCTGTGAAATGGCCAGGGTGAGACAAAGGGCTTTTGTAAGTTGGGCTGGGTGTGACTCTTTCCACTGACCACCTTGATTAGCATACAATGGGCTGACTGTGCCTGGAGCAAACTCTTCTTGAAAGGTGATTAGATGTCCCTGCCTGTTTTTCTCCCTGCTGTTGTGCTGTTGCAATTTTAGAATTTTTTAATACTTGTAGCCAGATTTTGTTCATTTTCATGGTTTCTTCCTTTCTGTTGAAATTGTCCACATGTTTGTGGATTTCAATGGCTTCTCTGTGTAGTCTGACATGGTGGTTGTGAGAGTGGTCGAGCATTTTTGTGTTCTCAAATAAAATGCTGTGTCCAGGTTGGTTCATCAGGTGCTCTGCTATGGCTGATTTCTCTGGTTGGAGTAGTCTGCAGTGCCTTTCATGTTCTGGATTCTTGTTTTCTGCTTCCTTGGAGACTAGGAAACAATGGCTTCAAACTACAAGAGAGGAGATTCCATCTGAACATGAGGAAGAACTTCCTGACTGAGAGAGCCGTTCAGCAGTGGAACTCTCTGCCCCGGAGTGTGGTGGAGGCTCCTTCTTTGGAAGCTTTTAAACAGAGGCTGGATGGCCATCTGTCAGGGGTGATTTGAATGCAATATTCCTGCTTCTAGGCAGAATGGGGTTGGACTGGATGATAGCCCAGGAGGTCTCTTCTAACTCTTGGATTCTATGATTCTATTTACTACATATCTACTACCTACCTATCTATCTATCTATCTATCTATCTATCTATCTATCTATCTTCTATCTGAACATGAGGAAGAACTTCCTGACTGTGAGAGCCGTTCAGCAGTGGAACTCTCTGCCCCGGAGTGTGGTGGAGGCTCCTTCTTTGGAAGCTTCTAAACAGAGGCTGGATGGCCATCTGTTAGGGGTGATTTGAATGCAATATTCCTGCTTCTAGGCAGAATGGGGTTGGACTGGATGATAGCCCAGGAGGTCTCTTCTAACTCTTGGATTCTATGATTCTATTTACTACATATCTACTACCTACATATCTATCTATCTATCTATCTATCTATCTATCTATCTATCTTCTATCTGAACACGAGGAAGAACTTCCTGACTGTGAGAGCCGTTCAGCAGTGGAACTCTCTGCCCCGGAGTGTGGTGGAGGCTCCTTCTTTGGAAGCTTCTAAACAGAGGCTGGATGGCCATCTGTCAGGGGTGATTTGAATGCAATATTCCTGCTTCTAGGCAGAATGGGGTTGGACTGGATGATAGCCCAGGAGGTCTCTTCTAACTCTTGGATTCTATGATTCTATTTACTACATATCTACTACCTACATATCTATCTATCTATCTATCTATCTATCTATCTATCTATCTTCTATCTGAACACGAGGAAGAACTTCCTGACTGTGAGAGCCGTTCAGCAGTGGAACTCTCTGCCCCGGAGTGTGGTGGAGGCTCCTTCTTTGGAAGCTTTTAAACAGAGGCTGGATGGCCATCTGTTAGGGGTGATTTGAATGCAATATTCCTGCTTCTTGGCAGAATGGGGTTGGACTGGATGGCCCAGGAGGTCTCTTCCAACTCTTTGATTCTATGATTCTATCTAAATAAAAATGTATTGTTAGTTTGTGGAATTGACATAACTCAAAAACCACTGGACTAATTGACACCAAATCTAGACAGCATACACATAACAACCCAGTGTATGTCCTTCACTCAAAAAAATTGATTTTGTCACTTGGGAGTTCTGAACCCTACCAACGATGGAATTGAACCAAACTTGGCACACAGTTCTCCCATGACCAACAGAAAATACTGGAAGGGTTTGGTGGGTGGTGTCCTTTGGTTTTGGAGTTGTAGTTCACCTACATCCAGAGAGCACTGTGGACTCAAACAATGATGGATCTGGACCAAACTCTACACGAATATGCCCTCATGACCGCCCTCTTCACCGTCTGCTCCAGCCCCGTCATCGTAAGTCTATCTGGGGAGGGGAGAAGAAGCGGAGGAGGAGGAGGAAGATTAAGCGGTGCCATCCTCATGTCATATTATTCTGGGTTGTTGTAGGCAGGCCTGTAGCAAGGGGGTGGTTTTAGGGGTTCAACCTGCCCCCCTCCCCCGAAAGGTTTCAGATTTTTTAAAAAAACCTGGTTTACTCATGAATTTTAACTGGTTAACCAAATCCGGAGCCCCCGGTGGCGCAGTGGGTTAAAGCACTGAGCTGCTGAGCTTGTTGATCGAAAGGTCGCAGGTTCGATTCCGGGGAACGGCGTGAGCTTCCGCTGTCAGCCCTAGCTTCTGCCAACCTAGCAGTTCGAAAAACATGCAAATGTGAGTAGATCAATAGGTACTGGTCCGGTGGGAAGGTAACGGCGCTCCATGCAGTCATGCCGGCCACATGATCTTGGAGGTGTCTACAGACAATGCCAGCTCTTCGGCTTAGAAATGGAGATGAGCACCACACCCCAGAGTCAGACATGACTGGACTTAATGTCAGGGGACTACCTTTACCTTTACCTAACCAAATTCTCATGCTAAGTCTATGAGATGCAAAAAATTAAGAGTCCCTCCAGAACTGCAAGCACTATCTCAAGCAAATATTGACAATTTATTCACACTGTCATTACTTGCAGCAATAGCCGATGTAGTGAAGCAACCAAGTTGGGTGTGTGTGTGTTGAATGCTCTCATTAAGGAGGCCAGACTTGGTGGAGGTGGTTGACAGGGGCCGAGCTGCAGGCCATTGAAGGCTGCTCTGCCCCTGCTGTGCTCTTTGCTTCAACATGAGCTAGGAGGCAGGTTTCAACCCCCCCCCCTCCCAATTTTCAACCCCCCCCCAAATTTCAACCCCTCCCAAAAAATTTTCTGGCTACGGCCCTGCTAAGAAGTAAACCCTGCTAAGTCCAGTTAGACTAATCTGCTCTGTGTTACCTGTACCATGTAAACCGCATTGAGTCGCCTGTGGGGGGGGTCACAAGGGGGTGTCAGAAGGGTTGCCAAAGACCATCAGAAAACACAGTATTTTCTGTTGGTCATGGGGGTTCTGTGTGGGAAGTTTGGCCCAATTCCATCATTGGTGGAGTTCAGAATACTCTTTGACTGTAGGTGAACTATAAATCCCAGTAACTTACAACTCTCAAAGGTCAAAGTCTATTTTCCCCAACTCCACAAGTGTTCACATTTGGTCATATTGAGTGTTTGTGCCAAGTTTGGTCCAGACAGGAAAAGCAGAGTGTCTAGCACACATCCAAGGTGGAGAGTTCCACTGCTGAACATCTCTTACAGCCAGGAAGTTCTTCCTAATGGGGTGCTGGGTGATTTCAAGGCTGTATGCCAGCAACAGATGCAGGTGAAACGCCAGGAGAAAAAGCTGCCAGAACACAGCCATACAGCCCAGAAAGCACACAGCAAGTATAAATATGTGAGAGGAAGTCATAGGGAGGAGGGAGCAAGCTTGTTTTCTGCTGCCCTGGAGACTAGGATGTGGAACATCTGTCGGGGATGCTTCAAACAACAGGAAAGGAGATTCCACCTGAACATGAGGAAGAACTTCCTGACTGTGAGAGCCGTTCAGCAGTGGATCTCTCTGCTCCAGAGTGTGGTAGAGGCTCCTTCTTTGGAAGCTTTTAAGCAGAAGCTGGATGACCATCTGTCGGGGGTGCTTCAAACTACAGGAAATGAGATTCCACCTGAACATGAAGAACTTCCTGATGGTGAGAGTGGTTCAGCAGTGGAACTTTCTGCCCCGGAGTGTGGTGGAGGCTCCTTCTTTGGAAGCTTTTAAGCAGAAGCTGGATGTCCATCTGTCGGGAGAGCTTTGAATGCAATATTCCTGCTTCTTGGCAGAAAGAGGTTGGACTGGATGTCCCACAAGGTCTCTTCCAAGTCTATGATTCTAACACCCCAGTGATTCCAGCCATGAAAGCCTTTGGCAATATATACTTTCCTAATGTTCAATTAGATTCTCCTTTCCTGTAATTTCAACCCATGGCTCCATTGAGTCCTAGTAGTCTCCAGGGCAGCAGAAATCCATAAGCCTCCTTTTGCAGCTCGGTGTGTCTCCAGTCTTTCCTACCTGCGTCTCCAAATTGTGCTGTGCCCCAAAACATAAACACTCCACTATTCCTCTATAGACACATCCGCTATCCATCCCCACACATGTCCTCCTTTCTCTGCCTCCCACAGGGGCAACACCATGCGCATGCTATGACCATGAATCCCAAACTGTGCAAAGTACACCTTCCCATCCTGAAAGATCCTCCAAATCTATTCTCTTGTGTATCAGTCTGAATTGCCACATTTTTATTACACCTGTAGCACAGACACACTCGAAGGACTGCTCCGTACCACTTTGAATCCATTCTGGAGGAAATGCATTGATAGATAATGGTGCCATTACGAATGAAGCGCAATTGTGTGCAAAACACTGCTTCCGATGTACTTCTTGATCCATTGGGATGAGGGAAACATTAAGTGCATTTGCAAGCCGGACATTTGAGTCACTTTGAGGCTCTTTTATAGAGAAATAAAGCAGGATACAAATAACAACAACACGTCGTGTGTTGTCGAAGGCTTTCACGGCTGGAATAAACAGGGTGTTGTGTAGTTTCTGAATTGTGTGGCCATTTCACCTGCATCTTTAGAGGATATGATAGCAGTCAATCAAGTGGAGTATATATACCAAGTGGGTTTTTTATATCTGTGGAATGTCCAGGGTGGGAGAAAGAACTCT